TGTGTTTGCAACAACGTTCGATCAGGAAATGTCCCGGCAAGAGGAAGTATTCAAGTGTTTGAAAGCAGCAAACCTCATGCTCCATCCCAAGAAATGCCATTTGTTCCAGAAAGAGGTGCTTTACTTGGATCACATAGTAAGTGAGCATGGTGTGCAAACTGATCCTGACAAGGTAAAAGCAGTACATGATTGGCCAACACCAGACAATGTGGGAGAGTTAAGAACTTTCTTGAGACTCTGTACCTATTACCGGAAGTTAAAATAACCAGGTGCCATCAAGCTGAAGTCAAAGTGACTGAAGACCAAGATTTGAAGCCAATAATTGATTTTCTACGAGCAAGCTTAAGCTCTGTGACAAAGAACTATTGGGCACAATGGGACCACTTGAAGCTTGAAGATGGTATTCTTCTCCGGCGATGGGAAAGTGATGACCTGGCAAACAGTTATACCAAGAAAGTTATGGGAAGTTGTGCTGCATCAATCCCATGGTAGTTTAACAGGAGGACATCTTGGAGTTGAGAAAACATTGAGTCACTTACGGCAGAGATTTTACTGGATAGGTATGAGGCAAGATGTGGAAGAATGGTGCAGGACCTACAGTACATGTTGTGATAAAAGGGGACCCAAGCATAAAGGATGTGCTCCAATGATGTTATATCAAGTTGGCACACCAATGGAAAGAGTAGCTGTTGACATTGCTGGTCCTTTGCCCCAAACCCGCACTGGAAACAGGTACATTTGTGTGGTGATGGATTATTTCACCAAGTGGCCTGAGGCATATGCAATACCAAATCAGTAAGCTACAACTGTAGCTTTGGCTATTAGTGATTTATTCTTCATGTTTGGTATGCCATACAAACTCCATTCAGATCAAGGCCGTAACTTTAAATCAGCTGTGTTTCATGAATGCTGCAAGTTGTTTGGCATACGAAAGACCAGGGCAATGCCACTTCACCCACAGTCTGATGGGATGGTAGAAAAGTACAACTGAACACTGGGAATTGGCAAAGTTTTATAATAGCCGCCAAGATGACTGGGATGTCTTACTCCCTCCACTGTTGATGGCCTATAGAACAGTAGAGCATGAAGCCACTGGATACACTCCAGGAAAGCTGATATTTGGTCAGGAACTTTGGTTGTCAGTGGATCTGATAACAGGATGCTCACCTTATGAAGAGTTGCCTGAAAATGTAGAGTTGACTGAAAATGTGTCAGAGTTCATGAAAGTGTTATCTGAAAGGATGGATGATATTCACTATCAAGTGCATTCAAACTTGAAAACGTCTGCTGATTCCATGAAGCAGAAGTCAGCTTTGTACCAGGAGACAAGGTGTGGTTGTATAATCCCAGGAAGACCAAATGGAAGTCTCCTAAGTTGTCTTCTCCATGGGAAGGCCCATATGACATAGTGGATAGTCTCTCAGACGTGACTTTCTGAATAAAATGTGGTCAGCGAGGTAAGCCAAAGGTGGTGCATGCCAACAGGCTTTGGCATTATCATGGCCCAGGACATTTCAGTTGGAACAAAATGAACAACAGAACAAATGACACTGCTAAAGACGTGTCACCTGTAAAAGCCACTGCTGGAGAAGAAACTCTACCCTGTTTTGAGAGGGAAAACAGTGAAGCCATTAATGAAGTTACTACCACTGATGTGACTGCTACCAATATTGGGACATTTCCTGATAGAACAGATGAATCCCACGTGAAGCTGAAGCCAATGAGATGGAGACCAGTATGAAAAAGAAACGTCCTGTAATATTAAGAGACTTTGTTGCATTTTAATTTTGTGTTTGCAAATTCTGTACATTGAATTAAGTTATTGTTAATTATCTATTAGTTTAATGTAAGTGGCTATTGTTCAGGACGAACAATACTAAGGAAGAGGCAGTGTTACAACAGCGAAAGTCAAGTGACGTGCGTGATGAGTCTCTTGAATGATCGGAGAAGTTCGAGTGTGTTTGAGATACCCTCTTCGTTAGTATATAAGCCTGGCAGTGAAAGCCAGCAGGGGATATACGAATGAAGAGAGAGCAGTAGTTACTTTGAGTTCATGGTAATTTATGATTTTGTTAGTTTTGAACTAGTGAGCCGTAAAGTGTGTGTTTTGCACTAGTTGAGAGCGAAGTTATCAAGATTGTGAATCACTGTGATTTATAGCGTGTATTATAAAAGTTGTTAAGTTTAAAGTAACGAGAAAAGTACTGATTGTGGAACTACTGTGTACTAAAGTTTTTATTGAGGAAGAATAAACTGGTTTAATCAAGAATGGACTTGTATCACTGAAGACCCTCAGAAAAAATTTCTACTGGAAACAAACAAACAAGCAGAGACGTAACAGGTATATGAAAAGAAAGACTGGCTGAAAATGTAAAAATTGACAGATTACTTTGAATACATTAAGGGTATGCAAAACCTTATGATGAGATAGGGCTTTTCAGGAAAAATCAAGAAGGGCTCATATCTTTGATCATGAGATGGCTAGGTTATTACATTTTTTTTTACTTTTCACTAATAACGACTTAAGGACTAGTTGCTGGACTAATGCAAGATGATCACATTAATTCTGAACTTGTTAACAAATAAGTTGACAAGTTAAAAGAATGATAAGATTCCTGATCCAGATAATCTTTTTCCAAGGACTTTGGAATAGGTGATGGACTGGATATGTGAACCACCTGCTACTATATTTTGCAAGTCTGTGAATAGTGGGCAGGTGCCAGAGGATTGGAAGATGTCTAATGTTACTCTTCTTTTCAATGAAGGTAATAAAAATTGTCAAAGTAATTATAGGCCTATTAGTCTTAAATTAGTAGTGGGAAAAGTTTTTGAAATTCTAATAAAAGATGTTTTGCAAAGAAATTTAACAAAGTTTGAAATTTTGTCTGATAGTCAACATGGTTTGATTAAGGGAAAATCTTACTTTACTAGTAATTGGACATCACTTGAAGAGATTACTTCTTATACACGAGGTAAGAGTGCATATTTTGTGTACCCAGATTTTAAAAAAACATTTTACATGGTGCCAAATAAAAGACTTGTTAAAATAAGTTGTTTCTATGTTTGGAAGATCAGTTGGCTTATTTGGTAGAAAAGCGGATGGATGGAAAAAATTAGAGGGTTGTTATAAATGGTATTCAGTAAAACTGAATTAATAATGTCACAAGTGTGGTACATACCTCATAGCTAATTGTTAGGACCTTTGCTCTTTTTTGATTAATACTTATGTCATATATGAAGAAATTGTCAACTTCTTCGTGCAAGTATGCATGCTGTTTTTTTTAAATAATTATGTTTGTTTTCTCTCAAACTCTTCCACTATACTTTAAAAACAAAATGGTGACCACGTGACCATATCAAAATTAGAGTTACCAAGGTGGAAGCTTTCATGTTACATTTTAAAAAATACACTAAAAGCCATTGCCAAAATAATATTTGTTGCAAAATGTACAAATGATGACGACCGGCAGAAGTACTGAAATGTCTAACATACTAAATAATAGGGAATTTGAAAATATCTTTCAAAAAAGAAAAAGATATACCAGTTGAAAATAGGAAGACTAATCTCATGAGAATAATCAATTAAAAAATTCCACTAATCACCCAGCTCTAGTGCAATGGCTTTCCTGATGCATGTAATTAGTTTTAATTATTTTACAATTTTGTTTGATGTACAGGACTACACTTAAATAAGTTTTGATGCTATGTTTGTTTAGATACCTAAATGGTAACTAGTATGAGCCTAATGGCTTATGCCATCTTGCTTTTATCTTATGCCCTTAATTACATGAATAATTAATCCAGAAGTAATTAAAAAGTTACATTTTTATAACTTCTCACCAAAACAAGTTACCTAAATAAGTTGAACTAAAAATTATTTTTGCTTGTTTGTTTGTTGCTAAGTACAGGGTTACACAATGGGTTACTGCGCTATGCCCACCATGAGTATCGAAATATAGTTTTTAGTGGTATTGGAAATAAGTCAGTAAATAATTCACCTAATTCAATATACCAGTTTAACTTAGAATATGTATTATCATAAAACAAAGTTATAATTAAAGTTTTGTTTATAGATAATACAAGATGTTTGAAAAAGTAACATATTTTAAAACCAAAATAAGTTTTGAAACACACATTACTTGTTTCAATTTTATCCATAAACAAAGCTTTACTTTTTATGTCCTTCTTTAATTTAAAAACTTGTACTGTTTGGAATGCACTGATTTATTAACAGTTGAAACTCTCACTGTTAATGTTATCAATACTTTCAAAAATTGAAAAGTTTCATAGATGAATTCATAATCCTATTGAATTTGATATTTTCCAACGTTTAGCCACTTATAACTTATGTAAGTTTGGACTAACTTAACTAACCCACACAAAGTAATCTTCATAACAAAATACATTATACATTTAAAATAATGAAAATAAAAGTATTAAAATTTAACTTTTTTCTACAAAAGCGTTAACGACACCAACATCAAATTCAAAGTTATAACTTATATTTGAGTAATACTAATAATAGTAGTATTACTGTTAGTAACAGTAACACTAGAACCTATAGTCGGAATGTAACTTGTAAATTGGAATACTAATAGTAATAAGAGAAAATATACCATTACCAAGAGTAGGGTTGTAAAATCATATTAAAATTTTAATTAATTCAACAGTTTTTACCTTTTTGTTTAGATTTTCGCTGGAAGTTCTATGTTGATTTTCAGATTTTTCATTTTGTACACATCTTTCATGTTTGTCAGTTTCGTCGTTAGTACTGCAAATTCTATCATTTCGAACTTTATGGTTCAAGTTAAAACGAAGTCTTAAAGCATCAAGAAATGAATGCTTCTCTTCTTGTGCCTTCTGTTTTTTACGAGTTCTATACTTTGCAAGTTTATCTTCCATCTTTCAAATGCAACTTAACAATAACAGTTACAGAGCTGTATAATTATACATATAATCCGCCGTATCTTTACTGAAATTATTACCACTGTGTCATCAGAAAGAAAATACATCATAACATTAGTATTAGACGATGACTGAAGTTAGCTTCTCTTTCTTAATTAAAGAAAAGAATGACATGTAATTGACATCATGAACAAAAAACTAAATGAGACGTACCAATTTGCCAAAATTTCAAAATAAAAATTAAAACGTAATGATTAACATTTTGTATGGAATCTTTAACTAAAGTTTATTCAATTTTTCAATACGCTTGAAACACTAGAGGTATGGTCAAAGAAAGGAATTGTCCTCCTGTAGCATAGCGGTAAGTCCACGAAGTCACGAACTGGTAACATATGTGAACGTAAAATCGCTCTAAGAGAAAGCTTTGAAAAACGTTCGTTAAGTAAGGGCCCTTACAAGCCACTTCAGCAAGCTCAAACCTCGCTTTTTATTGTATTTTCCAAGATGGCGCCTAGCATGGAAGAAGTGAATTTCAATGATAGTAGCGTTCTTTACACCGCAATTCTTGACAGTGAAATTGCAGCTTGTGTTGAAATAGGTCAGTTTATGCCTTTTTGGTTTTAATTATATTTTGTGGTAGTATAATTCACAATTTTGACTGCGTGAGTTATTATTTCACTATGTTTAGTGTAAACTGTAATTGAATTGTGAAACGATTTCTTACTTAATTATAGTATTTTGGCACTTGTGTATAAAGTTCAAATCATAAATAATATTCAACTTAAACTGGTACACAATTAAAAACATTTTAAAAAATTGTACGACTCTACATGTTTCGACGTTACAACATCGTCCATCGATAGGCCTAAATAAAATGTTTTTAATTGTGTACCAGTTTAACGTTGAATATTATTTATGATTTG